TGACATTTATTAAATTTAAAAAATTTAAAAACTTCTTTAAACACAGGTGTTTAAATGATATGTAGCAAAACGAAAAAGTATTCTTTTATAGTTTACAACGTAAAATATAAAAAATACTTTCAAGAAAAGATTTAAAAGTCTGTACTAAATATAAAGTTATATTTGTTAAAATATAATTTTACAGGGTAGGATAAATGGTTACAATTTAAACTAAATAAGGGTACATTATTTTTCTGCTTTGATTTTGTGGTTTTTTTAGCACCACAGCTTAACTTTTTTTTCACAACACCCATAGTCTACACCCATAGTCTATTCTGCATTTGTCAATCATTCTTTTTTGTGACTTTTTTTAACAGCAATAGTATCTTTCTTTTTATGTTGGATATCTCCTAACAAAGAAACTATTTGAGGTGTTGTCAAGACAGATGTTGCATGGAGTTCTTGAGCTACTGTCCTAACTTTAGGAACAGTCTTCTTTGGCAATGCAAACAATCTATGATGCTGTAAGGCTTTGGTTATAGCTGTTTGTTTAGAAAACGATGTTGATTGAGTTAAGGCATGAGGAGGTAAGAATGATTCCTTGGTCACGTCTAAAGAAAGAAGAAATTGAAAATCAAGAAATCAATATTAAATTAAAGTGTCAGGGTAAGCATTTACAGAATACATGCAACTTAATATAGGATATGCTATTTCAATAAAATTTAAAGGAGTTATAAGTATTACCTTCTACATGGCTTCTTTCCTTTTCAGGGCTTGTTGGTATTCTATCTACATTTTTTCTTTGTAAATAATTAAACCATTTTTCTCTAGTGATAAAACGCAATTATTCTAAACAAGAACACTCAATGACCAAGTTATCGCATCCAAATGAACATCTGTAAAAGATATGTACAAATTTAAATGGGTTAAATGTTTGTGTGGCTATTGATTTTTTTATTTAAAGCTTGAATAGTTTGAAAGTTTGATGAGTAAAAATAATTTACAACTTTATAGTTACGCCTGCTCCCAGTGATTTTATAAGATTAGTTCAATATTTATCAGATAAGGTTTGAGTCCTAGCATTTACCTTCTGAATTGGATCTACTTGCGTGCTTCGCTCCACCTTTCAATCTTGCAAAACACCTTCAAACAAAAACGTCTCGCTTGAATGCTCAACCTCTTTTGTTAGTCTGCTGTAATCTGGGGCTTCTGGGTTAAAGGGATAGATGCCAGATTTTCTAAATGAGTTTTTGATTTTGTCTTTGCTCATAGCAGGACAATAAAGAGTAAGGAAAACTGGAGCTAAGTTCCTTAGAAATGTATATATTATTGTTCTTTGCTCTATATTCATCTTCAGTAGAAAATGGTAATGGTAGAAGTAACTTAAAGAGAGTGCCTTATATATTGTATGAATGAGCTTTAGTTAAGAATAAAAATGCTCTAGATTTTTTATATTAGAGAAACAGCATAAAAGAGGAAGGTTAAAGCCTGATGATAATAATGATCATCATGATCATCATCACCATCAGGCTTTAGGCTTTTTCTTTTATGCTGTTGATGATGATGACGATGATAATGATGATGATGATGATGATGATGACGATGATGATGATGATGATGATGATGATGATGATGATGATGATGATGATGATGATAATGATGATGATGATGATGATGATGATGATGATGATGATGATGATGATGATGATGATGATGATGATGATGATGATGATGATGATGATGATGATGATGATGATGATGATGATGATGATGATGATGGTAATGATGGTTATGATTATCATGTTTATCATAATGATGTTAGTATATACATATATATATATATTCAAAATATAGCATGAATTTTGAATAAAAAAAAATATACTTTAGGGTGTATAAATTTTTATGCAGCCCCGGTCACAAACCCAGCCCTAGTCCTGACTATATTTTATCAAACCCGGCCCCGGCCCCAGTCAAATATCAATCCCGATCGTTTACTATGTACTTACATATGTATAAAAAAATTCATGAAATTTGATGACTTGAAACTTTTTGTTTTTAAAGTTAATTTATAATTAAGTTTTTAAATAGTTAAGGTTGGTTTAACTTTGAAACTTCAATTTTTTCTAAATTCTTTTTAGTGAAACATTTTTAAATTATAATTAAAACATATTTATTTTATGTTTTTATTTTGTCTGGTTTATTTTTTATTCATTTTATCATCTGTTAAGATTTTTATTTTTTTGTATTTTTTTTAGGTTTTATCTTTTTTCCAGGGCGCGACAAAACGAACGTGCAAATATCTGTAAAAAAAAAAAGGCCAGGAAAATGAACGTCATGTTCCTTTACTTTTCCTTACACAAACATTGGCTTTCGCCTAATATTTTTCAAAACAAACGCGTTACTTCAGCAATTTTTTTTCAAAATATTTAGGCAATTGATCGTTTTTTATTTATTATCAAAAACAAAAACAAAAAAATTAATTACAAAAATTTTAAATGCATTTTCAAAGACTTTAAAAGAAACAATGCTAAAACTACTTTTTTAAAATGGAACAAAGAATCTAATTATGTTTGAGCATGGTTTTTGCATGCATTTACAAAAACATTCAAAATTTTACTTAAAATGACTTTGTTTGCTATTACTTTACAAAAAACCATGCTTAATCTCAACAATTGCTTTCATCAATAGCGTGCTTTTTTTTTCTTATTATTTTCCTTAAAGTGAAGTAATGTTTATTTGCATATTTAAAAAACTTATGAAAATTTTTAAAATAATTTTCAAGTTTTGCTAAAAAATACATAATCTAATAGAATATATAAAGTTATTATGTTTATTATAATTTTAATTTTTTTATTGTGTGTTTAACAACACCAATAATATGATATTTTTATTAACTTGTTATTAAATAGATAATATACTATTATTTTTAAAGTTTTTAAAAAAATGTCAAAACAACTAAGCATCTTTTCAATCTTAAAGAAAGATGGTACAGAGGAGCGTAGCATAAAAATAAAAGGAGAAGAGAGCAAAACTAAGCAAGCAAAAAAAAGTGCAATGACTTGGATTGTGCTATGACTTTAGGAAAATTGGATATATGGCCAAAAGATATTTAATTTATGTTTTGGAACAACATAAATGAATTTCCACCAAGTAATAAAAAACACGGACAACAACTAAGTTGGATTCATATTGACAATTCAAATGAGTGTTTCTCTTGTTGGGTTTGCCAAAAGTATCCAAATTGAACCAATTCAGTAACAATTGAATGTATATTTTGGAAAAGAACATATTTGTTATGCCATAATTAAGATAATGGGCATAAAGCTTTTATTTCTAAATATCAAGAGAACCTTCACAATATAGCTCCAAGTCTTCAAAAAACTGTATTGATATCAATTTTAAGAACTACTGATAATAACCAGGAAGATTTGAACAGACTTTTTCAGATATCGTATCTTGTTGTTAAAGAGGATCTTGCATTAAAAAGTGATTCTAGTGATTCTTAAATCCATTTATATAAATATAAAAATTAATATATAAATATTAATGAGACGTCATTTTGCGATTTATTTCTTTAGTTCCTTTTATTTTAATTTCTCCATGTTTATATATATATTTTATGAGTAAATAAATTTAAAGAGATAAATTGAAAATAAAAGTTTTGTATTGTTACAGTTTGCAAACTTCGCATATTAAAAGTTTTGTTGGATAACAGTTTGCAAACATTGCATATTAAAAATCAATTATTTGCCCTGCTTTCTAGTTTATAGTTTGTTTATTTTTAATTTAAGTTTACACTTGTTTATTTTTTAAATGCTCTAACTTAAAATATGCAAGGCCTTTTTTTGCCATGCATATACAAAATATTGTATGCATAATGATATAAGGCGTGTGACCGCATGTGTCTCCTGAAAAGGCTTGGTGTGTATGTATGTAGGAGAGAGTGGGGCACCATGATATGCTTATGGTTTTTGCTTCATAACAATTTTTTTAATATGCATTTTTTTTAGGTGATTAGTTTAATTTGTAGAATAAACTTATACCTACAAAATTAAGTTTATTAATTACCAAAATATAACAGGGTAAACTTGTGAGACTATATAAAGTAAAATAATAAATTTGTATCTAGGTATCCCACCAATGGGACACCTTGATATATAAATTAAGAGCATTATTAAAAAAGTAAATAAAAAGAATAAAACTTGGGGAAAAAAGCAGTTTTTTTACTTGAAAGACAAGCAAATTAATAATTATAACCCAAATAATGCATCCAATGGTCCAAATCCAATTTCATTTTTAATGTCATTTTTACGCATTAATAAATAATGGCTTTGTATCGAAACTGGATCTCCTAGTATTATATTTACATGAATCTCCTAAAAATGGACTGTAAATAATATAAGAAATGATTTTTAGAATTGTATTTGACACTATGGAGTACTATTCTACAGTTTTAGGACCCCCCACAAATGCTGTATCAAATTACCCCATACAACAAGTTTATACTGATAGACAATTTTATATTATATATTCAAAGTTTATTTTTATTACATATATTTTGGTTTGGTAAATAATGCTGGTTTTATATTTTTGTTTATCAATATTTAATAAAGAATTTTGTGTTATTCTATATATTGTTTATACGCTTGTCTATTTTATATTTGTCATTGGTAAAGTGTTGCATTAGTAAATTTTTTTTCTTCTGGAGTATTGTCTGAATTTTGTTTGAAAACTCTCTTTTATCTATTTCATTCATCTATTTCATTAGCTATTCACATAGTTTGACCATTTGGTGAATTTATATACCAATATTTTTAAAAATAATTTTTTTCAGACATCTTTGTTTATCATACTGAATAAATTTGTAAAGCCAAATGTTATACAAAATTTTATATAAAAATAAATATTATAAATTTTTTAAAATAAAAACCAAAGTATGTCAATTTCTTAAAAGCAATATAAAAGTAAAAAAGATTTCTTTTTCTATTTTTGTTTTTAGTCCTTAAAAATCTTTTTTTTAGATTATGTAAGTGGTGGAGAATTGTTTACGCACTTATACAATCGTGCACACTTCACAGAAAATGAGGCGAAGTTTTATACAGCAGAAGTTGTTATAGCTTTGGAGTTTTTACATAAGGTTTTTATTTTTCCTTTAAAGGAAACTAGAGCAATATTAAGTAAAAAATATATCTGACACTAACTATTAGCAAAAGATGGCTAAAAAACTGATCTACAATATCGGTTAAACTAAAATAAAATAATAATCTTTTACTTTTTTTTATTTAGGGTATAAAAACAATAGTGAAAAATAAATGCAGCTGTAAAATTGACTTATCTACATTCACATCTAATATAAAAATAAAATTGACTTATCTACATTCACATCTAATATATTGGTTAAAATAAAATAATGAGATAATATATCTTTTACTTTTTTCATGTATATTTATTTATAATAGCAAGAGTGAATAAAATTAAAATACAAATTTTTAAAACCCAATGCTTTTATATTAAACAAATTTTTTCTGATATTACTATTTTATTTTATTAACATTCGGCTGTAAAAAAATACAAAATAATTCAGGAAGAGGCAGGTCTCGAATCACAGACATTCCGTTTACGAAGTCAATGCCTTATCCAAATAAGCTAAACGCGCGTATGTATATGTAGGGAGAAATAATATACTTATTTTAAAAAACCATCTACATTCACATGGTATGTATTAATTAAATGCTAATTAAAAAATGGGCGTCAGATCTAAAAAACAATTGTGTCTCATTAAACACGCATTTTCTAAACATAGACTGCTGAAAAAGCATATTCTTTTAGATGTTTAAAAAAATGTTAAAGCTATTTTTTAACAGAGTTTATTTTTTCTTTATCACAACATGGTTCATCTTCAACACTTGTGTAACATTTTTTAAAATCTAATTTATTAATGCACAATTAGAAATAAAGAAACAATTAGAAATTAAGGAGCAGATTCTTGATACACTTTTACCATTTTTAGATAAATGTTGCTGATAAACTTTCTAAAACAAAGAGTTTAATCACTGCACAATATTAATTTTTTTTTCCATTTTAGCAAATACACTGACACTTTAAATAGATTGTAAACAAATAATGAATTGAAAATTAAATTAAAATATTTTGTGGATAATAAAATATTAAAAACATCTTTAATTAATAGCAAGTTAATTACTCAGTCATGCTGGATTATTTGGGTAGTTACCTTAGGTAACTAATCTTTAAGAATGTTGGCATGCTTAACCTTGAAATAACTCTAAATATGTTTTGATAATTTAACTATTGTAATTGTTATTAAAGTCTCCAAAATAAGTAATAGAAAGGATAGAAAGTCCCCAACAAAAGTAAAAGTAGGGATAGAAAGTAGAAAGTGACAAGGACCGGGTTTGTGACTGGAGCTGCATAAACATTGATACATCCTAAAGTATATTTTTTGAATTCTAAGTTCATTTTATAATTTATATATATATATAAATATATATATATATATATATATATATATATATATATATATATATATATATATATATATATATATAAATATATATATATAAATATATATATATATATATATATATATATATATATATATATATATATATATATATATATATATATATATATATATATATAAATGCATACATTTATATATAAAAATCATCATGACCTGCATGATTATGATCACCATGATCCACATAATCATGATCATCATGATGATGGTCATCATCGTATTTCAACCTTTTCTTTTTATGCTGTTGCTCTAATAAAAAATCCTTTCAATAAGTTTTTTTTAATCTCTGTCTAAGATTATGGTTCCTTTTCTTGTCTTGTTATAGTCATACCACACATCAATCTAATCATCATCTTCTCTTTCTCGCGAATACTACACCATTTAAATACTAAAGTTTGTACAAATAAGTGAAGATAAAAGAAGATGCCAGCATCTAAATAGATAGCAAACATATGTTTATATCCATATATATCCATGTTATATATGCTTAACTGCGCCTCTTACCTTATCTCCTGAATCTGATCAGGTATGGAATCTTTCCAATCTTTAAACTCAAAAAAATTAAAACTAAAGAGAATCCTTCTCTTCAGTTTTAAATTCAACTCCAATTCCACTCCAGCCTCATTCAACCCCACGTTTTTCACCTTCTTGTGTAGTTATTATATTAAACCGTTATCATTTTTTTCTTTTTTTTACAAGAATATCTCTGTGGAAAACAAATGTCTTTTTATTATTGCAAGAAGTTAATGTAAAAAGGTCCTGTCTGATACTAAACTCCATTATTCAGTTGATTAAATCATGTATCTTATCTCACTATTGAAGATTTTCTAGATACTTTTAAAAAATCTTTAAAAGTCTAACATTACATCTCTAGGTCATGGGTCTGATCTTATTACTTCTCCCTAGAATAAGACAGAGTCATTTGAAAGAACTTTTCTTCTTGTTTGGTTTTTGAATCTAATGGCAATACTTTTCTTGCCATTCCAGTTAAACAGATAAACTTATTATTTCCAAATCACTTCAGCTTTTGATTCTAAAGTCAATTCTCAATTTTAATTTTCTACAGGTTGTGGTTCAGACAAGATTTCATTAATGTTTTACAAAAGTGTCCAGAATTTTCTTCAATCCTTCTAAACTTCTCACTCTCAGACAAGCTCCAAAAGCGCATTGTAAATGTAGTTTTATGTTTGCCAAGATTTATGGTTTTTCTCAAATTGAGCTGATGTTGTTAGGTTGTATCTCTTTCTTTTTTCTACAATTACAATCATGGTTGCTGCATGAATTATATTCATCTAGCTTATTTCCTCGCAAACGCTCACCCATCGTGTTTTCCTGACTCATACAATTAAAATAAAATCTCGCTTTAATAAGTGTTATGTAATTATGCAATAATAATAAAAAAAAGTAAAAAATGTTGTTTCATTATTATGTTTTTGTGAGCATCTTTAAGGTAAAAGTTATTAAAGATTTTTTCATATGTTTTGACATTATTTTTAAATAAATTTGAAAGTTCAAATGAGCAGTATAAAAATTTCATTGAAAACCATGTTAGGAAAACTGTGAAAAAAACAACAACAAAGAACTATAGAGTTTAAATAATTTTTTAAATTCAAGTTTTTAGTTTTATATTTTTAATGGAAAATTTTTTTTAAATAAAATTTAAACTTTTATACAATATTTTTACAATTATGTTTGTAACCTAATATGTGAAATACCACTTAAAATAAAAATAATAAATACTTACATATTTAATATCTTAAATAAAATCTTTTTTTATAAACAGTTATAAAAATTTGTTTAAGTTTGAATTATGTAACAAAAACAATTTTAAAAGTATTGAACTCATTCATTCAAGTTTTAATTATAATAATCTTTTCTTATAATTACTTGCTCTCTGGCTTGCTTGCTTACTTGCTCTCGGGCTTGCTTGCTTACATGCTCCCTGGCTTGCTTGCTTACTTGCTCTCTAGCTTCATTTACTTTTCATTTTATAAAAAAAAATTTCATAAAAATGAAGAGTATCAAATCAAATTTTTATATATGAAAATAGGAAGAAACACAAAACAATAATTTTATAAAATACTCAATTGTTTTGATAAAAAAGCGATCTCAATATATACTAAAATAGAGTTTAAAAATTTGGTCTAATGCAGTGTTATTTTTAATCATTTTTCTAGAAAATGTTACCATGCTTGAATAAATAAATATCAGAAAAATAACCGTTCCTGACAATTGTTTTTCAAATGCATTTATGATATGATACAAAACATTACTGTGTAACTAACAAAACTATTACTAAAGTGAAATCAATTATTTTATTTTCTCCGCAAGTTTTTTTAATCTAAATATAAAAAATATTATATATTTGCATATATATTAGGATTGGTTAAAATAATTTTAAATAAAATAAATATTTTTATAATGAAAAAAGAAAAGAAAACTTATGTAAGTACTGTTATGTAAAAACTGTTTCTTTCAAAGATGATTTCTTAATTTATCCATGTATTTACTTTTTTTTAAAGCAATTCTATGCATAAGGAACTAAGATGTACTATTAAGATATGTGCGTATGAAATTATCAGAACTATGAAGTTGTCTATTAAAATAATACATTATAAAAAATAAATTAAATTAGAAAGATGCATTTTTCAAAAAATATTTGAAACATTTTTAGTAAGATTTATATAACATATATTTAAATAAATTAATAAACTAATGTCTAGCGATAATATTTCAATGTTTTTTTTTTTTAAATCTCTTTATTCTTAGTTAAAATATATTAAAAAGGTTACTTTCGTGTTGTTTAGCTTGGTGTGATCTATAGAGATATCAAACTTGAAAATATTCTTTTGGATGGTGATGGTCACATCGTGTTGACTGATTTTGGTCTAAGTAAAGAATTTCATCACTTACACGAAAATGTAAATCTAGTTTTTTTTTTTTTAAATTTATAATAGTCATACATTAAGTATGATATAAATAAGTATTGTTATTATATAAGTAAAAATAATATACAATAAAAATGAATACAACCCCCTGAAGGATATTACACACAAAAATTTGCATCTCTTGCTAATTTTTTTGTGTCATCTTTCAGAAGGTTAAACCTAACTTTCTAATTGGTAATAACTCTTTTCAAGAAGTAGCAGGTAGTTTTTAATGATGGTTTGATGATAATAAAATCTCTCATGAAAAGTTATTTATATTGGCTGAGGTGCCAGTCATAACGTTAAAAACCAAGTTCTTACATAAGTTTTTAACTCATACCAATATATTGGCATCAACCTCAACACAAATCTATATGTCAAATTTTACTTCAGTGCAAATACCCTCACCTCCACAACCAATAAAAGTAAATCCAAAAAACAATTACTCACATTTTCACACTTTTAACACCCAATACTTGAATTGGACAATGTATTTAAATATGAGCAAAACTTTATCTGCAACCTACGTAATGAGAAAACAAAATCTGGTGCCAAATCTTGTAAAAATTAGAGAATCCAGAAAAAGCATTTAATGGAATCATTACCATGATTACAACTTAAGAGATATGTTAATATTTACAAATTTTTAATATATAAAAATGCAAGTTGCTTCTCTTACACCAGGAATTTATATAGTATATGCTATGATAGAAAATGATTTTTGGGCTACATTGTTCAAACATTTAAAAAAAATTTATGATATCTTAAATAAGTTTTGATAAGTTAAATTCATGAAGTATTTGACTAGAACTCTTTCCATGATTTTCTCTGTAACGGCGGGTTTTGTCTTCCTGCTGTCAAATGTGCTTTTTATGTAACTTCTTGGATTCAGACTGGCACAAAATCTTTTATTCCCTCTCAACGTTCCAAGTCAATTCTCACACTTCTCCATGGTTTTTATCTCATTGTGCTGCAAGGAGATAAAAACCATGAAGTGTGAGAATGGACTTGGAATGTAAAAACCTATATATATATATATATATATATATATATATATATATATATATATATATATATATATATATATATATATATATATATATATATATATATATATATATATATATATATATATATATATATATATATATATATATATATATATATATATATATATATATATATATATATATATATATATATATATATATATAGTCTAGTTTACCGGTCTGCTGGAAAGCAACATCAGCATTTTATTGTGCATTAGATAGATTTGGAGAGGTCAAGGCTATCACTTTCAACATTTCCAAAACCTTTGATTAAGTTTGGCACGATGGTCTTCTACATAAGCTCCTTTCTTACAGTGTATCAGGTAACATTTCTAAGATTATTGAATTCTTTCTTATTAATCGTAAATTAAAAATTGTCCTCGATGGACAGCACACTTCTCCATTTCCTGTAACTTTAGGGTTTCCTCAAAATTCTGTTTTTGGCCCTATACTTTTTTTCAATTTACATTAGCAATCTCCCAGAAATTCTCACACATTGTTTGCTGATAATATTTATTCTCTGATTGCTTGCAAGGGGCATTTGAGCTTGAAAAAGTTTTTACTTCTGCTGCAGCATGGGGCTCTCAGTGGCTGGTAAACTTTAACTCAAGTAAAACTCAATTTTATTCAACTAATCATTATCACAATAATCTTGATCTTCGTATATTTATGAACAGTAATGTACTCGATGAGTCATTTACCCTTTGTCTTCTAGGATTAACTTTTACTTCCGATCTTTCTTGGAAACCAATCCATTGCAAAATTAGTATCTGCTCTCCATTAGTATCTCCAATCCATTGCAAAATTAGTATCTGCTTAGGTTGCATCTCTTTATTGTGCTCACCACTTTCTTACTTTAGATTTTATTCTTTATAAATCTCAAATCTGTCCTTGTATGGAATACTGTTGCCATATCTGGAGCGGATCTTTAAATAATGCCCTTTCTCTTTTAGACTAAGTGCAAAAGCACATTTTAAACATAGTTAGACCTGCTCTTGCAGCCAACTTTGAACCATTGTCACATTGTTGTAATGTTTCTTGTCTTTCACTTTTGAATAAATACTATAATGGGCGCTGCTCTAAAAAGCTAGCGTCTCTTGTGCCATCTACTAAATTTCATTCTTGTGTTACTCGTCGTTTAAATTAAATCTCATCCTTTTACTGTGACTGTTCCCAAGTGCCCCGAAAATTTTTATTTGTCTAGTTTTTTTCCTCAAACATTTCTTTAGAATTTGCTCCCTTTATCCTGGTTTATTTTCTGATTCATTTGCAATCTTTTAAGTTGTCTGAATTTGTTATCTTGATTTATAAACTTCATATATTCTCTTCCAATAACTTCCAACTTTAATAGTGGTTGCTTGCAGCTTTATTAGAAGATAAAAATGAAAAAAAAAAAAAAATTCCTTAAACACATTTAGTTGTTCTTATAATTAACCATTTGTTAGGTTTTAATAGCACATTTGTTATGCAAGGTTTTGTCTTTAATAGTTTTATCAGCAGCTGATAGATGCTATTAGTAACATATATATATCACATTATATATGAGCTAGTTACGAATACCAACTATTTATAACTTATCTTAATGATAAATCATGCAAGTTGATATTTATTTTATCCTTAAGTTTATTATATTTTTCTTGTAGTGTTGATTGTTTACAATATGTAATGTTACCTAAAGTATGCCAAAGCTAAAGCATACTAAAGCTAAAGCATACTTAAGTTTAAAGCTCTAATAAGTAAAGTGGATACTGACATGGGGAGCACAAAATATATAATAATAGCAATATATAAGAACTGTCTTGAAAGTAAAACTACAATAAATTTAATAAATTAAAATATACTTTTTATATAAGACAATAAAGTTTAAATTCAGACTCTTTGTCATAACAGTTTCAAAACTTTTTGACTCTTTGGAGCATCTTGGTGCTTTTATTATTGCTAGATTTTTTAGAAATATATTTTCTAAAGGGCAACAATTGAAACTTTTTTGATACAGATAAGAATTACTTCATCAATATGAACAATATTGTCAAAGGGAATAATGAGACCTCCGTTTTTGAAGTCATCAATGTAGAACCACATTTTTTATAATAAAATTGCATATCAGTATAATCATAGCTATTTTTTTCTTTAAGCATAACCACCAGTGTATAAAAAAGGGTACTGTTTTGCTTTAGAACGCTATGTATCATAGCAGTTAATTTTTCAAAATTCTGGAAGAGCCTTATAAAATAAACTCCAGATATGAAAATCACTAAATGATTGTTTTTTCTTGGTTTTTGGTATTAAGAGTGTAAAGAGGCTTATGGACTACATTTTTGGAAAAATAAAAAATTTTTAGGTTTGAAGAATAATCAATTTTTTTTCATTCAGTAAATATTTTATTACAAAGTATTTGCTAAATGACTAGTCTACAAACAAGATTTTTAGACTTTTTCTAAAAGAGAAATAGTTTCATTAAAAGAACATTAAAAGTCAAAATGACAACAGTAATCCATATAAGGATGGATAAGAGACTTACAGAGATAAGAATGGAGTAAATAATGGAGTCATTAGCAAATAGAGACACTTGAAAGGTATGATCATCAAGTTGAGCATTTGGATTGTCTAGAAGTCATGAAGTCAAACATTTAGAGCTTTAGTGGAAAGAAACGAATTATATTTACTCATGTTACTGTAATTTTTATTTACTGTAATTTTATAGTTTTTTTGTAAATTTTGTACTTTTAAATATTTTAAAAAATGTGTACTTGTACTTAAGTATATATTTTTTAAAGTATTGTACTTCGCTACATTTTAAATCATATATATTACTGAATAAAAGAGTTTAATATGTATTAGTATAGTTTAATATTACAAAAATTATGATTTAATTATTTTATTTGATAAAAAATAATTTTTTATAACTTTGTTTTCATTTCATTAGTGAAAAATAGTTCTCACTAATGTTTTAAGTAAAGTTATAGGTCATTCACAAATTATGTCCCGGGATAATTTTCACTAATGTTTTAAGTAAATTTATAGGTTGTTCACAAATTATGTCCCAGGATAGGAAGGAAGAAGGGAGGAGTTAGCAATTTTGTGACGATTTGTGACAATAAAAGGGGTATTAAATGTTGTGATGTACAATTTTTTTTTTTAATTTAAAAAAAAATAGAAAAACCTTTCTTTTGATTAATAGAGTACCTAGCTGAACATAATAATTTAATTTATGTATGCACACTCAACTGCAGCTATTCCAATTTAACTTAAATTGGAATAGACTTTTTAAATTGACTTAAATTTTAGCAGAATAATGGAGGCTGCATTTACGGTTTTGTCTGCTGTGTAAAAGTCATGATAGAATAGATAGTTATGTCCACAACACTACACTAATTTATTACTTATGAAGTTATTTAGATTAAATTTAAATATGAGGTTATTTGTCCATAAAGTTACCCTTAGTTACAACAAAATGATAATTTATTTTGAAGTTTTTATATAATTTCTCTTTTTTTGAGACCCAATATGATATACTTTTAAAGAACTATTTTTTTGATAATTATAGGGACCTGTCTGATATTTAAGGTTCTTAAGCTACCTCTAAAAAAAATTTTTATTTTTAAAAAATTTTTAATTTCAGTATTATTTTACTATAAAGAACACATTTATAGAGTGAGAGCAGACAATTAAAAAAAAGTTGTTGTCCTAAAATGGTTTAACTGGCAAAACAGTTTAATTTAAATGGCAAAGATGTAATTTTTTTCTTTCAAAAGTATAATTATCATTGTAGCTAAAATTAAAAAGATGTAATTATTAAAAATAATTATTAAAATGCAATCATTTTAATAATTATTTTTAATAATTCTTAAAATGTCTCTATTCTATTACAATAAGAAAATATAAAACTTTTTTTATTAGCAGTAAAAACAATGCTGGTCTAAAGAATTTTTTGATGCTGTAATA